GCGCCGCCCCCTTCTTCCCCTGCCCCCAAGCCGGCGGGGCGGTGCTCGCCTCAGCTGTGGCCGGCCAGGCCCGGCTTGCGCACGCGCTTCTTGGAGCCTCTGGGTGTGCGCCGGTCCGGGATGAGGTCTGGTTGTGCCCCCTTGCTGTAGAAAGCGGGGGCGAGATGTAAGCCCCCGTCAGGAAGGGTCTCCTCACGCGGAGATGCCGATTGTCGCAGGCGAGGTTTGTCCCGCCCAGGTGCAGAGGAAGGAGGTGAACGCAAGTGCTTTCGTCTTGACCCGTCCCCATTTTGCAGCGTTAGGTCGGAGCCCGGAGTCTGAGTGCACGAGACGCGTCATTTACTCAAAACGCGGCTTTTTTAGGAAAAGTTTTTACAGCGTATCTGCAACCAGCAACGTGTGCATTTTAATTAAAACATCCATCTGGCAATTGTAGGCGTAAAACATTCAGGGCTTGTCAACCAATGACCCACGATCCAGATCCAGTCTGATTTGGTTTACGTTTTAGTAATGATGCGCTGACCCGTGCTGCCGCCCGGCCTCCGGCTCTGCTCCCGGTCGCTTGCCTCCAGCCTCTTGCTCTGCAGATTGGTCTCCCCTCCCCCGGACCACTCAGCTTTTGCTCGCCCTCGCCACCAAATTGGCCTGTCCGACTCTTGCCTGCTATGCTTTTCAGCAGCCCGTTTTTCTGGGGAGGCTACCTTAGGGAGATCAGCCCTTGAGACAGCAGGTGATCAGGTATCCTCTGATTAAAAAATCCCCAATTTTCACATTGAAAAAGTAACTCAAAATCCACATTTTTCCGTGATTACAATGAAACACTACTAACTGTGTATCTTATCTTTTTATTAGTGGCATTTTATTTTAATCTCAGAAAAATGTGGATTTTGGGTTACTTTTTGAATGCAAAAATTGGAGATTTTTTTTTTTAATCAGAAAAACCCATGATCCTTGGTGATCAGTGTCCTGCAGTGGCAGATGGATTGCAAGCACTGGCCCATGGTTAGAAGAGGTTGCTGGCCCTTGACAGGTGCCCTGCCCTCTGGTTGCCATCTTGGAATCAGAAATCCCACCCCATAAACCCAACCTTTGCCACCAGAAGTCCTTCCCCTTACCCCCATGAATTATTCCTTTCAGCAAGGGGCTTTGCCATCTCAGAACCAGAAAAATACCAAATTATATGCTAAAAATCGAGCATCTACAACATTCATTAATTTGATTTCAAAAAATATTTTTGTTGTGATTTATGTGTTTGTGTAATGTACACAGACGTGATTGCACAATAGCTTAAAATGAAGTCTTACTCTTGTATATTGTGAGGGGCTGGAGGGCATGGGGGTTGGTATAGGTTTGTGGGGAGTCTGAAGGAGGGTGTGGCAGGGTTTGTGGGGAAGATAGGTGTGGGTGTGGGGTGAGGGAGCGTGTGGGTGTGGAGCTGTGGGGGGGTGTGAGTGTGGGGTTTGTGGGGGAGTTGTGTGTGGGAGAGGGTGGCTGAGGGGTGTGGGTGTTGGGGTCTGTGCATATGGCAGGGGGGGCTTGTGGGACTCAGTCTGTGGACAGCTCTCCCCCCCTCACTGCACGCACACACCCCCACACACCCATCCCGCTTCTGGCCCTGGGCTACTGGTGCGGTCCAGAAATGCAGCCCGGGGCCACATGGCGCTGGAGCAGGAGTGCAGGGAAGCAGTGAAAGCCGGGACAGGCAGAGGTTTCTAGTTGGGGGTGGGAGGGGCTGGGGGGCAGAGTCAGGCTGGCCTTGTTGCTGGCTCCTGCCAGCTCCCCCTGCATCCTACTGCCCCTGTCTCCTGCCATCTTTGACAGGCAGCCAGGAGCAGATAAATATTAATTTTCTAAACTTTTTAGGTGCCCCGGGGGCCGGATAGAATGGCCTGGTGGGCTGTATTTTGCCCACCCCTGATTTATACCAACAAGAGTCTGTCCCAGAATTAAGCATGTTGGAGACAGATAGCTCAGTTTTACATTGAACAGAATACTATTATGCCTTGTTCTTCTGGTACCATCTTCCTGTGGCAGTGCCCTCTGTATGTAATAACAAGCATTAAGTTCATATTTCATAAGATTTCACAGAGGAGTTAATAGCTGGAAAACTCCTCTGGGTAGTCAGTTCATAGCTGGCATGAAGCCTATCACCTCCTGTGAGGATCTGTCATGATGCAAATTACCTTGAAACAAAAGCAGGAGCAGGATCTCAGGTTTCAAGTGGTTACAGTTGCTTCCTGCTTGGGAAAATATGAAGATTTCATTTTTCTTTTTAATCGGAAAATTCGATATCTTCCATGTGTCAGGTATCCAGGTTGTAGCTGTATTGGTCTAGAGGAAAAGGCAATCAGGACTCGTAGTAGAGATGATATCTTTTATTAGACCAACAAGATTTTTGCAAAAAAAAATTCTATTTCTATTGACTCCTCTGTGAAATACTATGAAATATGAACTTTCATTTCTACCCAGGAGAACTTTTATAATCTTTTCTCCAATGCCTGATGAAGAGTGTTTGTGCCCAAAAGCTTGCAATTAAAGAATTTTCTTTGCAAAAATCTGGTTGGTCTAATAAAAGATATCATCTCTACCACAAATCCTGATTGCCTTTTCCTCTAGGCCAATACAGCTACAACCTGGGTACCTGATAAAATGTATTAGTCTTTTCAGTGCCAACCTCAGAATATCCCTGCAGAAGTATGGCTTTGTGGTGTCTGGGGACTGCCACTGGGGACATCAGCCTTTATATAGTTCAATATTATCTCATCCCATTCTCATAAATAAATTAAGAGGCTGTAACATAGATGTTTTCATGGTCCGGTGGGTGGCAGATTGGCTTAGCGGTCGCACCCAGAGAGTGGTAGTAGACGGGTCGATATTGACCTGGACGTATGTGGGTAGTGCGGTCCCGCAGGGTTTGGTCCTTGGACCTGTACTCTTCAATATCTTCATCAGTGACTTGGATGTAGGCGTGAAATGTACTCTGTCCAAGTTTGCGGATGATACTAAATTGTGGGGTGAAGTGCATACTCCATAGGGTAGGGAACAATTGCAGGCAGACTTGGACAGGTTAGAAAAGTGGGCACTACACAATAGGATGCAGTACAACAAGGACAAGTGCAGAGTGCTGCACCTAGGGCACAAAAATATCTAGCACACTTACTGGCTGGGAAGTGACCCTCTGAGCAGCGCAGAAGTGGAAAGGGATCTCAGAATCAGAGTGGACTCCAAGATGAACATGAGTCATCAGTGTGACAAAATCATCAGCAATACTAACCACAGTTTATCATGCATCAGCAGATGCATGATAAATAGATCCAAGGAGGTGATACTTCCCCTCTATGCAGCATTGGTCAGACCACAGTTGGAATACTGCGTCCAGTTTTGGGCACTGTACTTCAAGGATGTTGATAGAGGAGGGCCACTCATATGGTTAGGGGCTTACAGGACAAGCCCTGTGAGGAGAAACTGAGGGACCTGGATCTTTTCAGCCTCCCCAAGAGAAGGCTGAGAGGTGATCTTGTGGCTGCCTACAAATTAATTAGGGGGATGCAGCAAGGGATCAGAGATACTCTATTCACCAGGGTGCCTCTTGGAGTAACAAGGAACAATAGTCACAAACTGACAGCATATTTAGGCTAGATATCAAGAAAATCTTCTTCACAGTAAGGGTGGCCAAAACTTTGAATGGGCTTCCAAGGGAGGCGGTGCTCTTCCCTACCTTGGGGGTCTTTGAGAGGAGACTGGATCTGCAGCTGCCTGGGGTCATCTGACCCCAGCCCTCTTTCCTGCCTCAGCAGGGGGTCGGACTCGATGATCTGTTGAGGTCCCTTCTGACCCTAGCATCTATGAATTGTCTAGGTTCCACACTTGACTGCCTGTTAGAGTTAAATTTAGTTGACGTAGAGTTTTGAATCTTCATATAGTCTCAACCTGGAAAACTTTTGAAAATAGCTGTGCCTTAATTTTGTAGTATTATCTGTCGTGTTTAAGACCAAACTGCTGCTTTCAGCAAACACTAATGAAGGAGGCAGATTTCCATAGGACAGGGTGGTCAAAATGCAGCCCGCAGGCCAGATGTAGCCCGCCAGGCCATTCTATCCGGTCCGCAGGGCCCCTAAAAAATTTAGAAAATTAATATTTATCTGCCCCTGACTGCCTGTCATGCGGCCCTCAATGGCTTGCCAAAACTCAGTAAGTGGCCCTCTGCCCAAAATAACTACCTGCCCCTGCCATAGGGTAATGTTTTGATGCTCAGTGTTCTGGTAGTCAGAGTTGCTACTCTAAATTTTGGAGTATGCTTCCACAGTAATTGCTTCAGATTCTCGTATTCTTTTCTGTTATGAGATACTACCATTTACTGTTCATCACTGTCATAACAAGGGGCCCAAATGGTAATGCTGGAGCTTATATTGGCTGATCCACTTCCCTGTTCATTTTATGTCGTTTGCTGTCTGGGAAGAGTATTTTATTTGGGGAGGAGTCTAGTTCTTGATTGCTCACTGATCAGCATAGGCTCTCCACTCTGTGGTTGACTTTGTTTTAGTGGCAAATCAATATTTCTCTCTCTTGGGTCTTCCTGCATAACAGACTGGGGAGGAAAGAAGTGGAATAATAATTTAAAAATAGTATTGAGCTTTTAAAAAAATGAGGATTTTGTGATTAATGCTAGTTGTTTTTTATACTCATTGATAGCTTAAATGGGAGAAAAGCTTATATACATGAGATTAGTTCACTGCTTATAGCTTAAATGTAATATTTTAAAATGGTTTA